CGTATTTCCACGCTTCGTTTCTCATTCGTCAAATCCATCCCTAAATACCCATTATTTAAAAATAAAACGTACCGAAACGAAATTTTACAACGCGCCTATCAGTCATTTCATATCCAACCTGCGCATCTCCCCTAAATACGATATTATTCAACGAAGGGAGAATACGGAACAAAAAACAGCGACTCGGAGAAGAGAAGAGAGATATCTTCGGATATCTTTCTCAAATTTCTCAACCGTGGCCCCCTGATTATCAAAAAATCGCGTCAAGTCTAATAAGTATAAACGCCCCACTCGAGACACGGCGAGGGAACGTCGCCATTCCGCTCGTACCTTTTCGAGTCCTCGAGTACTCGAACGATGGTGTAGGAAAGGGACGGGACATCCTGTGGGAGAAGTGGTTCTCGCGCCGTTCTTGCTGGAGGACACGAGGGGGGAAGATCTTTGGCCGAGACAAAGGTCTAGGAAGAGAGAGAAAAGAAAGAGAGAGAGAGAGACATTTTGTAAATTGGATTACGCCGCTTTCTTCTCTCTCTCTTGGAATCGTCTCGTTCGCCCTCTCCCTTTTTTTCCACCGTGAAATTAATATCCGAAGATGAAAGAAGCTGCGGTCCACACTCGCTCGGATCACCCTTTCTACCTTCTTTCCCTTTTCCCTACCCTCCTCCTTCCTTTTTTCCTTTTCACCCCTTCCTCTGGTGGCCCCTCGACCCGCCATTTACATAATATGGAATAAATCGTTGAAATTCGTCGACGACCCTCTGACACTCTGGCTGCTCCACGTCGAAGAAAAAAGGAAAGGGGCGGAAGAGAGGGAAGAGAGAGATGAAAAAGAGAAAGAGAAAACACCGCAACTGTGAGATCAACCGTCTTAGTGGTCGATTAGTAATTAGTAATTATGGCAGAGAGGGGAAAAAATGCTGGTTTCGGCAACTCGGATGATTTGTTTTTCGGCGAGGAAATTGAAGGCAAACTGTTCGTTTGCGATCGTTTGGTCGAAAATTAAGTGTAATTTGGCGAGCTGGTAGTCCGGTTATTCATCGGGGTTATCGATTCTACCTATTTTCGGTTTTTCTTCTTCCCTCTCTGTCCTTCTTTTTCTCCGGTCTTTTCCTATTTTTATTTTTCGTCCGTGCACATAGTAGCCGTATTTTTTTACGATTGCGGGCAGGAAAAGAAACGCTAACCGGGGCAACGTTTCGTATATATTCCGGTCCTTTTTTTCTCTCCTCGGTTGGTCTCGTGCATGCTCCGCTTCGAGAAAAAGGTTCACCTCGACGTAACCGGGAGCTGTGAAATTATCTGAAGTATCGGGAGGCTTTTTTTTGTTGTTCCTGAAACGTGTCGGTTAAAGGCGACTTTAAACCAAGGTGTACGACGTGGAGGAGACTAAAATCTTCTCTTAAATTAACCGTGCGTCTATCTACAAAGTACCTTGGGTGAAATTAATTTCCTACGAGAATTTTTATAAAGCGGTATAGAAGAGAGTTTTCTGTCCTTTGTGATGTCTAAAGATAAATAATATTGGATTAAAGTTGTAGAGGCGAGAGAAATTTAGCCTTATTTCTTTTTTTTTTTTATAATCAACTTTAATGCAAAATTAATTAATGGATTGTAAAAGTAATGAAATTTTTAAGTATTTAACGCGTAATTTTAATTAAAATTAACAATAAAAATAGATTCAATCGTACGGATTTGATCGATTCGCCAAAATAAAAATGGCTTATCGTTGACTCGTCGTTACAACATTTCCCAATCTTTCTGAATTTTCAACAATTTTTTCATCAATTATTTCGAGAACAATTACCAATAAAAATTACATTGATTCGTAGAGAAACGCAGCACACTAATACTATCCCTACGTGTTTCAGATTTAAAAAAAAAAAAAGGATTCAAAATCCTTTGCTTCCCCTTCCTCCCACAAACATTTCTCGACCTCGTGACGTGTTAACCGTGGACATTTATCCGCGAATTCTTCGCATCCATCCACGCTTTTCGAATAAACTTCTATTTACCGAGCATCAACCGAGCCGAATTGAGGATTATTGGATTCTCGTTAGAGCGGGAAGCTATCGTCATACGAAAATCCGCGGCCGGCTTTAGCCGTGATGCGGTGCAGCCCCACACCATCGAAGATTATCGATGAGGGGGTGGGGTGGTGGTTCGGTGACTCCGTAAGGCACATCCTTCCCAACTTTATCTCATAAACCGATCCCGAGAGAGAGAGGCCTCTCCTATCGATCCTCGGCACGATAATGGATAGAATAATTACCAGAATAATTAGGACGTGACGGTGGCAGGCATTGAGGAGCATCGAAGCGCGCGCGATCCGACCAAAGTCGTTTCCGACTATTTCAGGCTTGAACACCTTCTCCTTGTTGTGGATACGTATTTCGTCTTAGTTATCGATACGTTTTGCTTTTCTTATTTTTGGTTTTTTTATTCGGCTTCAGTGTTCATCGGGGATGCACGATGATCGTAAATATTATTTGCAATAAAAATATTGTTGAATCAATGTGATTTTTAGGTATAGATTGTTGAAACAAAAATGAATCGTTGTTTTCACGGTTGTTTATTTGTTAATTTCGATAATGATTATATTTTAAAATCGTAATATTTGATTACGACGCGTGGATTATAGTTGAAATTTCAGAGATGCGATTAGTATAATATAATCGGGTTTGGAAATTGTGTGAAGGAAACGTTTTGATTTGAAAAATCTAGAAAAAGAAAATTGTCACACATTCCCATTCTTACGATTCACAATTACTGTGGGGTCGAGAAATACTAGAACGAGAAAATCTCGTTTCAGTGAAATAAACTCACAAAGAAATATTAAAATTCACGTTCGCAACATTTGACGATGCGAAGCGCAGTCGTGATAATTGATACGGTCTCTTCCCCCTGCGCTTTTTTGCTTTATTAATTAGCAAATTGATACAGCATCGATGTTTTCACGGCCTCTAAATGTTACACGATGTCACGATCCCCCACCCGTTGAAAAACGAACGAAACAAGCAATATCATCGGCCAGATCCATCAACGGATCCGTCTATTTCGTTAATAATAAAAGTGCACACCGCGCTCCTCCCTCCACCCACATAAATTCCATCCACGCTGTATAAACGCGACATCATCGAGAACAAAGTATACAGACACAAGTGTACAAATGTACCTGTAACGGGGGAAATTGTCGACGCGTGTTCATAACATTTTTTAATTAGCGAAAACCGCGATGAAAAATAATAATGATAATAAATAAAAAAAAAGGAAGAAAAAAAACGGAAATTGCACGGAGTGTGCATGGAACACGCAAATCGAGATTCACGTATTAAAAATTGGTAAAAGTAGAAAATATTAAACACCTTGTTTTCGTGAATGGGTATTTATCTGTTCGATGCTTGACCATTGTGTATTAAAACGGGTATCCATAATTCCGCGATATTTTTCCATTTATCCATGGAAATTTTTCTCGAATTAAATTTCGATCCTCCTTTAAATTTTCAATTTTTCGTTTCGCGAATATTTTCCAATACTATTTGGGGGAAGAAATGCCATAGGTCGATCTTATCTCGAAATTTTCTGTGAACTTTGCATAGAGATACTCCGTTTAGAACGGAGAAAAAGTGGAGTGGTTCGAATAAAAATTCTAGGATCTCGCCGATTCCTCGTCGTCAGCAGTTTTCCTTCGCCGTTAATACACCAACTTTGATCGAATTCGCGTTATTTCGTGATATATGGGATTATATCAATTTACGAGATTAAAAATCTCTCTCGCTCAAAGGAGTTTAAAAAATTGTACTTGTAACAAATGATCAGCGAAATAACAAATTTTACTTTGAGACAGAATAATAATAAATGCTTCTCTTCGATTTATTACTGGTGATCTGCTTTCTAAATAAATCTAATTCAAATATGTAAGTGACTTGATTTCGATCAAATTTCTTACATTTTCTTTCCATCAATTTTCGAAATGGTTATACGATCATCAATCTTTAACCCAACTTTAATAACACGCATATAGAATACTCGCATGTAGAAATATTGATTTTGGAAACTTTCTAAACCGAATTAATCACTCGGTTCGCGCCTCGAATTTCGATTCGAGCGAAAGGAGGACGTTTTCGACGAAATAAGGGGTGCGAGTCCTTCCTCCCACGGTCCATAAATGGCGCAGTGATCCGAGAATGCATTAACAACTTTGGCATTATCAATTCTCGTATAATACCGCGGGAGAGAAGTTGGCCTGCAACTTTGCCACCCGCTTTGCCACGCAAACAAGCCTACGTTTCTGTATCGGGATACTTTGCCTGCACAAAGACGTGGAAAGAACGTATCAGGTTGAGCAGAATAATAATTGGACAACCGAATAAATTTTTTCTTTCTTCTCTTCTTTCCAAGATAATTTTGACTCGAGCTTTAAATATCTTTTACAAAGAAATTTATTTAATCCCAATGATTTCGATTAAAGCTTAAGAAAATTATAAGCGTTCGTGTCTAACAAAACCATCTATCACGTTTTAAGATCAAGAGGATTCCACTCGCGAACAATCATCAACGATCACAGAACATGAAGAAATAAAAATACTTTGCGCTTGTAAACATTCATCATTACCACAACCTTACCACTTTTAATCAGCAAGTGATTGATTCGTATAAATAGGACGAAAGATGAATTCGCGAGGTTGTGGATGTTAAACGCGCACGTACACCGATTCAGACATGTGTAGGTGTACGTAGATACACGTAATATCGTTCCCAACCGCCTATATCGAAGGGTGTCGCACACATTGGTTCGCGGACCAGCGCATCCAAGAGGGTTCTCCAGCCTATTTGGGGTTGGCTTGTTCGCGCGCGACTAGCTACGTGACACATAATTCAACCAACTCTATAACCAAGTTCGAAGTTATACAGGCCCGCCAGCCAGCCTCCAACGTTCCACCCCCTCCAAACGTGTCCCTAGACTACGTTTCCTCGACGACGATAAGTTGCACGCTACTTACCTGGAAGCTATGCCAATGCTGGCGAGGCACTGCTTCGTTGCCTTCGATGGGGTGGCAAGACTCGGGTGTGTATTAGCTTCGCCACTCTTTTCTTCTGGAACAGATTGTTCGACGTGAAATTGTTGAGGAGATGATTACAGGTATATGAGATGTGAGATATTTATTAAGTCGAAGAAATCGAGGAGTTTTTTTAAAGAAGGATATTCTTATTTGTATATTGTGTAGTAGTTTGTAGATAGATTTAAAATATTCTTGAGTTTAATCTTTTAAGTATCTTTTTGAAGAAATTTTTCATCAACAGATCGCTTAATTAAAAAAAAAATCAAATAAAAAGATTTCTATAAATTTTCTAAATTTAAATATCGTTGTTAGTATTTTTTAAAAAATGTTTCTTGATATCAAAATTAATTTCTTAATCAATTTTTTGATCTTTAAAGATAATTTGATAATTATATATAATTTCGTGTATGTTTTAATTAACAAATTTTTCAGTACGTTTCAACTTTTCTATTATATTCTGACATATCCTTTTTTAATCATCATTTTTAATCTCGGAGACTCTCCTGATTATCCTTGGGTTTTATACTCGTTCCTGAACTTCCATTTTGCTAGTATCCAGATGATGTCGCGTGTCAGGGTATTATCTGTCGAGTCTAACTCCAAGAGTTAGTATAGTCGAGCAAGGATTATGCTCGTCCCCGAGTGTGAAAAGTTTCCAAAATCTCGAAACTTTATCAGGGTAGTGTATTCAAGGAACATAATACTATAGAGCAGGTGTTGTTGCATCAAAGAAAAATTCCACGAAAAATAGAAGCAATTTTTTACAAAAATATTATAGACTCGCGTGCGTATATTACATATTACAAATAATTTAATGAATTACATACGTGATTTTGATTACAATTTACAACTAATGTATTTATTATAATTTACATTCGTCATTCATTTATACATAAACATTAATAAAAATGTAAGTAATTCATCAAGAGTAATTCTGAGACACATTTGATTTAAAATGATTAACAAAATTGAAGAAACGAAATTAAAAATGATCCTTTCTCGTGGATTATTAATTCTTAATTTTAATTCTTATAATAAAGTCAAAACACTTATGCATTTCATACAGTTCGTAAAATAGTGCAATAGCGTATTATTTATGGATAACGAGCCTCGTTCGATCATTCAGTTGCACTATCGATTGGTGCCGATAATTTATTTCAAATTTCTACGTATAGTCCAATATAAATTACTTCCTCCAATAAATAATTACCGTAAATGTACACCACAGAAGCCAGATCAGATAAAAATTCCACGAATAAATAATTCATGGATATATATTTCACGTCATTTATAAAGCCAACGTTTCTCGCGCAAGAAAATAGCTCTCATTTTTATCGATGAAACATTCACAAATAATCTCTTTCACACTATGACGTTCACTTACTCATTTATTCCATACCGAAATACTTCGTATTGTCTTGTTAAATCTATCGTCTCTCTTCATTTTATATCGAATTACGATAAGAATGTTAAGTTCTGATTTAATTCCCTGATTTAATTTCGAATATTTTCGTTAACTGAAAATAATACTGCGCAGACATACAAAAATGACGCTTGGAAGAAATATATCGTAGATACTTATTAGAATTTTCATCGATCATAAGACTTCAGAACAGAATCTGCTGTTACTTTTTATATTATTAATATTATCGAAATCTTTTATTTCATAATAAAAATTTTTTACTGATTAAAAGCTGGTTTAATAGAAAGTTATGTAGAACAGAGAAGACATCTTCATAATTTAAAAAAATAATACTTTGAAATGATCATAATCAACAATAATAAAATCTGTAATAATTTTACCACGAATTTTCTAATTCCCATTAATAATTCTAAATAAGAAGATACTTGATATTCAATGATAGAATTAATCTTAGATTTATTAATATTTAATTTGAGAAATCACACGTCTTGATCTCGGTTCTGATTTCTCGAATCGATCTCGAATACGTGCTATTGTTTAGAAAAACACAGCCTTCGAGTTGTTCTCACGTATTATGAGAATCGAAAAATAAATCGAAAGCGTAATTATTTTAAATTAATTTAAAGCGTTGGAAACAAAGATTTTCAATTTAAAGGCTATAAATTGACGTTAATAGCGAGACTTTATGGTTAAATAGAGAGGAAAGAAAAAAAGAAAAGAAAGAAAAATCGTAGGAGAAGATGAAACGAAACCAATGTTTTTTCTTTTCTTTTTTTTTTTTTTTCTAGATTATAGATACGAGGGAAGATTTCTCTGTAAGTAGATCGCGAAACGACAGATCAAATTCTACGGGTCGTAGCAAATTTGATCTAGAAAGATACAAGAATGGAACGAAGTTTCTATTACGCGAGAGAAACTGTATTCTTATGAATTTCCAGAGAAAAAGAAAGGAAATGTTCTTCTAACGTTTAATTGTATCGCGAGGATTGATATAATTTTCTTTGGATTCGAGGATTTATGTAGCATAGTGGATATTGTTCGATTTGCAGTTTGGTTCGTACTATTTTATATTTTTATACTTTTTATACAAGTCATTTTATTTTATCTTTCGTGAAATCAGAAGAAAATTATCATCTTATGTAAACGAGTCAATGCAGAATAATGTAATTCTTAATAATCTTTTAAACGTGGAATCTTTATATTGTTACAACAACATTAAATACTTATAAATATTTATAAAAAAGTAATAAGAAAGGAAGATATTTAACTGGTTATATATAAAAAAATAAAATAAAATTTTATTATTTTACGTGGTGTTAAAATACCATTATTTCTTATAATATGTGAAATTCTTCCATAAAACTACAGAGCTTGCAAGTTGCAATAATTGTAATAATTACAGATCAATAGTTCTATATTTATTAATACAAATATAACACGGTAGCCGAATAAACATAATATACAAAGAAAAAGTTTTCTCGACCAAAAAAAAAAATTCTTCAACAACAAAGATGAATAACCAATAAATTACTCACTTCGATAATCTACAATGTGAAAACATCTCGAGAAGGAAGGAAGCTCCTTGTTACATCTTTTTCCATTTCGCGGAACTGGATTTATGCTTTGATGTATGCGAATCAAGGCGAAACAGTCTAGCAATGACGTTAGACGTAAAATTGATACTCACCATTAATCTGATCTTTCTTCGTGACAGATGAAGAAAGCGAGTGAATCAACAAGGATGATATGTCGAACGATCGAAAACTATGTTCGTTCGAATATACGCGTCGACGAAATCTATGAAAGCGGCAATCCGTGAAATCGTCGAAATCGCTCGACAGCGCAAACGTCCATGTTTTACATCTTTTTCCGTTTCGTCCAGAGGAAGCGAAGAATCATAGGATGTTTTTGTCGGAACAGATCAGTCGGGAAGACGCCACGCCAATTCAATCAGAAAGACTGCTGATAACTTGTGCTATTAAGCCGCAGAATCCTAGACGTATAAGATAAACGAGCTTATTGTGATTTGAAACATTTGGAATAAATTGAGGGTATTTTAATTTTAATTTCTTTTTCTTTTTCTTCATCATGACGAGGAAGAAAATTGATTTCTAGAAGATAACGCAAAATTAAACATTTATAGTTGCAAAATCTCGTAGAAATTTTTTATTTGGTTTGAATTTCCAGGATAAATTATTCCACGGGATGTCAAAATTTAATACGTTCAAATAATAGCGTGTACAAGAATTATTCTTATTATCGATGGTACACATAAAATTTCAATATTAATAACAACTTGAAAATTAAAACTCAAGCGCTTCGACTCTCGCATTTTTGAGTCAAGATAAATTCGTGGTTGCCCCTATGCAGTTACAAAAATGCAGTTCGTAAACATAAACTTTTTTTTTAGTTCACGTCGAATGGTTAAAAATTTCGCCAGAAATGTTCCTCCAATTAGAGAATCATTTTTGTACAACTTCACGCGAGACACGGTGAACAAGGGGGTACGTTTATAGAAATTATTTCGTGGCAATGGTGTTCCCAACCCAGTTTCGCGATAATTACAAAAACGTACGCGGATAAATGGAACACCCGAAATATTTCGAAACAAAAGGACAAAAGGAAGGGGTGGAATTCGCGAGGCTAAAAATTGGACCGCTTTCGTGGCTAATGAATCTCTCTCTCTCTCTCTCTCTCTTTTTCTTTTTAGAAAAAAAAATGAGGACGAAAAAATTATGGTTACGAAATATAGGACAAAGAAGTAGCGTATAATTTCGCGCGAAGTTTTCTACAGAAGATTTCGAGGGTGCTTCGTTCGTTGTTCGTGAGTGTCGCTAGGTTAGGTTAGGCTAGGTTAGGTCAGGTTAGGTTGCAACGTCCGACACGCGTCCAGCGAAATATGAATTCTCTGGGAATTCTCAAGTTTCAGTAATCATCGCAATTTCGTCGTACGTGATATAATTTTGAATCAGGATTATTCAAATTCTGCGTGTGCTCGGCTGTGAAGTCGCCGCAGTTGGCCCGAAACCAGTCGTGGACCGATTCCATGGTTGCGTTTGGTGGTGAGGTTATGTCAGCCGCTTAGACTACCTGTCAAACCAAAACTCTGTCGATGTTAGGGAGATCCGTACCATTTTGCGGTTAAAGGGGAGAATCGTGGAGAAATAGAAACTGGAGGAACGGGAAACGGAGACGAAACATGTCAGGAAGTAAACAAATATTACGTGCAAATAGAAGGGTCGATTAGAATCCGGGGTTTATTATTTCAATGGACAATTTGTTTAATTAGTAAATGAAATATATATACTCACATTGTAATACGCGATTATTGTTGATGTCAAAGAATTATTTTTGATATCTATAGCTATTGAATTTCTACAGAATTAATAGCAAAATAAGCAAAAAATATAATTACAAGTTACTGGGAATATAATCCTACATTTTTAGTACAACTCCTTAGAGAATTTCTGCATTTATGCTATCATTTTTGAGTTTAAAGATTTTTTTTTGTCTAAGAATTGAATGAGATGAAAATCATGTTTGAATATTCTTACACATTACACATTATTCATGTAAACTTTTTTTAATTGTTTATTTTTCATGGAAAAAAT